TGTTAAACTGCGGCATGGTATCTCAGTGTGCTAGCACTATAAATCGGCATCAGTCCGGACTAGTACAAGCAGCCACACACACACATACACGTGCATGCACGTCGCTATATAAGAGCAATAGTCTTGGGCGCGACGTTAAACCCCATTTCACCTCACCTCTGAGCACAAGTGTACAGAAGCTGGGAGGAAAATGTGCAACACACGGTATTACTTTGTGTGTGTGTATCTAATCGGGTTTTCCTTGCCGGGTACATTTCATTGCGTGGTGACCATTGTCAAGATCGGCGTTGCTGATGAACTGTAGTGTTGACGTAACAAAGCATACGACAGGCCTATCAGAGCAACCATTCATGTACTTGCACAATGTAACTTCCCTGTCAAATATTAGTTATGTCTGTATTCACGTTGTTATTAATCGACCAGACCCAGAAACACAATGAACACTTCCCCTACCTATGACAGAATCATTGATGTTTGACTGACACCTTATATTTGTTTGCCATCATTTTTAAATTCCATGCTTGGTGTCGCCTCTGCACACATCAGCAATGTGTTTGGAATTGCTCTGTCATAGTTATTCAAAGTTAAATGAAGACAACACGTAGCCTGATTACATATTTCCCAATGTTTGCTTCGAATGTTTCAATTCAATGTGATTTTATTCAATACGTATCGGCCACAGGGCTTTGTGTACAGAATATGATAATTCAGACAGGCTGTTCAACATTGGATAATACGTTTCTTTCAACATTAGCATTATAAATATATTTAGCCGAATTAACTTCTGTGTTAGGATCTTGCGATGATAACAGGAGGTTGAATTTGTGATAGTTGGGATGGAGATAGAACTTGTTTTTTAATACAAGTTTGTCTAAAGTTATCAAACACGGAGCAGATAAATTTAAAGTGGACTTCCGTTTCAACACAGCTGCATAACGTACATTTACGTAGATTTCGTGGAATATTTGCATGCCGCCCACGTTCGATTTCTAGATCGGAACAGCTTTTTCGAAATCTAGAAAGAACAGTTTTTAGTTTAACTGGCGGTATGAATTTTAAATAGGTTTCACAGTTAATAAAAGTTTTTAATTTTGCATGATAATGAATTTTGAGGAGGAACGTAGTTCACAGGCTCGCTGACTTACATGTAGTTGATGCATGCCATCGTATCCCAATTGCGTGGATCGATGCTCATGATGTCAATCACTGGATTGCCTGGTCCAGACTTGATTACTTACAAAAAAACGTCATATATCTGGAAGATTGCTTTATAATATGTCGTTAAACAACAAACAAACAAAATTTATCGACAAATCTTAGTTTATACATACAATTTCTTAGCTTTTCAACCCAATTTGTCCAGCCTCGTTCGTCATAGATACACTTCATGGAAACAATTGTTAAAGCGCTATCCTTAATAGTAGTATCATGAAAAAACTTTAATCCTATCATCTTTAATAAGCCGTTTTTTCGAAAAGTGAAAGTCCACCCCCTTTTCTTAACACAACAACCTTTATTTTAGACATATTAACTGACATTTTCCACGTGTCACAAAATTTATCTAGTACATTTAACATTCTTTGAAGATTATAAACACTTTCCTTTAAAGGTATCACGTCATCCGCAGGATGTAATACTGACTATCAGGGCAAACATTCGAATGTATGATAGTTCTTACACCCACCTAGCACGTTACGTCATGGAAGTTTGTTTCAGCGGTGCTTCCCGCCTACATGGTGCTAGTTCGCACATGTGATCATACATAACATTTGCACTTGAACTCTCTTGTATAGCTCCCATACACTTCGTCACGACTGTGGCTGTTTATATTAATTTATTTCTGTTTATTTTTACCTTTGTAATAACTCAAGTAAATGCTTGACAGATATTTGAATTTTGAATGTGTGAACCTCCTTTCACAAAGTAAATAATAGTTTAATACTAAAGCCAGTAACACAAAACCCAGTGTGGAGAGTTTCAACAAGTCAGTGGTCTGAGCAGTGGTCAGGTGACATACCTCACTGCTATATTACCATATCAAAAAGTTGTGTCTATTTTTTCCACAACCGCGTGTGTAGCCTGATATTCAATAAGACAGCATGTTACACAATGACTACCACCCAGCTGCGAGTCTGGTCTTGAGGACATGCAGGATGTATACGTACTTGGTCATCTTGTGCCGGACACCGCCACGTGTGTGGCAGCCACAGCTCACACAGAGGCGGGCAAGTTGGACAGTCTGGTCACGCGCTTCTCGCCTGATGTGTTGTGTGTGGATCGCCTTCCGCCAGGTTGTCGTCATAGGTTACCATGATGATAATTCTCCACAGCTACTGATACGTTTTTCCTTTGACAGTTGTATGACAATTTAATGAGCTAAATAATCCAATGAAGAATAAAAACTGAATAACATTGAAAGCCATACACAAATGTCACTTTCCTTGTCGGTTATTTTGTATACATGTTTTGTACTGTATGTTGCCATACACATGAACATAGCGTGTCTATCTGATGAATACATCGTGGTTGTATTGTTATGATGTGTTTTGACATCCGGGTGCTATGTATCGAGAGGTGGTGAGTTCCCGCTTCTGTACACGTCCCAAGCAGGTGCAATGAGAGATGGTGAGTTCCCGCTTCTGTACACGTCCCAAGCAGGTGCAATGAGAGGTGGTGATTCCCGCATCTGTACACGTCCCAAGCAGGTGCAATAAGAGGTGGTGAGTTCCCGCATCTGTACATGTCCCAAGCAGGTGCAATGAGAGGTGGTGATTCCCGCTTCTGTACACGTCCCAAGCAGGTGCAATGAGAGATGGTAAGTTCCCGCATCTGTACACAACCCAAGCAGGTGCGATGAGAGGTGGTGAGTTCCCGCTTCTGTACACATCCCAAGCAGGTGCAATGAGAGATGGTGAGTTCCCGCTTCTGTACACGTCCCAAGCAGGTGCAATGAGAGATGGTAAGTTCCCGCATCTGTACACGTCCCAAGCAGGTGCGATGAGAGGTGTTGAGTTCCCGCTTCTGTACACATCCCAAGCAGGTGCAATGAGAGATGGTGAGTTCCCGCTTCTGTACACGTCCCAAGCAGGTGCAATGAGAGATGGTAAGTTCCCGCATCTGTACACAACCCAAGCAGGTGCGATGAGAGGTGGTGATTCCCGCATCTGTACACGTCCCAAGCAGGTGCAATAAGAGGTGGTGAGTTCCCGCTTCTGTACACGTCCCAAGCAGGTGCAATGAGAGGTGACGTGTTGATGTACACGTCCCAAGCAGGTGCAATGAGAGATGGTAGGTTCCCGCATCTGTACACGTCCCAAGCAGGTGCAATGAGAGATGGTGAGTTCCCGCTTCTGTACACGTCCCAAGCAGGTGCAATGAGAGGTGGTGATTCCCGCTTCTGTACACGTCCCAAGCAGGTGTAATGAGAGATAGCGCGTTCCCGCTTCTGTACACGACCCAAGCAGGTGCAATGAGAGATAGCGCGTTCCCGCTTCTGTACACGTCCCAAGCAGGTGTAATGAGAGATAGCGAGTTCCCGCTTCTGTACACGTCCCAAGCAGGTGTAATGAGAGATAGCGCGTTCCCGCTTCTGTACACGACCCAAGCAGGTGCAATGAGAGATAGCGCGTTCCCGCTTCTGTACACGTCCCAAGCAGGTGTAATGAGAGATAGCGCGTTCCCGCTTCTGTACACGTCCCAAGCAGGTGTAATGAGAGATAGCGCGTTCCCGCTTCTGTACACGTCCCAAGCAGGTGTAATGAGAGATAGCGCGTTCCCGCTTCTGTACACGTCCCAAGCAGGTGCAATGAGAGATAGCGCGTTCCCGCTTCTGTACACGACCCAAGCAGGTGCAATGAGAGATAGCGCGTTCCCGCTTCTGTACACGTCCCAAGCAGGTGTAATGAGAGATAGCGCGTTCCCGCTTCTGTACACGTCCCAAGCAGGTGTAATGAGAGATAGCGCGTTCCCGCTTCTGTACACGACCCAAGCAGGTGCAATGAGAGATAGCGCGTTCCCGCTTCTATACACGTCCCAAGCAGGTGCAATGAGAGATAGCGCGTTCCCGCTTCTGTACACGTCCCAAGCAGGTGTAATGAGAGATGTGAGGTGTCCATGTGGCGCGTTATTGATTCTGTAAACCTGCATACAGACCTAAGTGGTTAAACTATTACTGTAACAATGTAGCCGGGGGTTGTGTGAGCGTGGTACAGGTATGAGAGTGACGGTATTAATTAGTATTTAAGGGGGTGGGGGAGATACCCAACATTTGCTACTCGTAAATTGTTTCTGAAGCTATTAAAAAGACGAAGATGTTATCACAGGGGTAATGATGTCTTCACCACAGTAAATAACACCAAACCAGGAAAAGAAGGATGTGCAGCGAGCTGTTCATAGGCATGGTATCAGTAACGCCAGACTACATCCTTATCTGAATTCCCCCTCCTCGCTCTACTGGCCAAGCAGCACCTGGGTCAAGGTGACATCCTTGCCTGAGTTCCCCCTCCTCGCTCTACTGGCCAAGCAGCACCTGGGTCAAGGTGACATCCTTGCCTGAGTTCCCCCTCCTCGCTCTACTGGCCAAGCAGCACCTGGGTCAAGGTGACATCCTTGCCTGAGTTCCCCCTCCTCGCTCTACTGGCCAAGCAGCACCTGCGTCAAGGTGACATCCTTGCCTGAGTTCCCCCTCCTCGCTCTACTGGCCAAGCAGCACCTGGGTCAAGGTGACAGCCTTGCCTGAGTTCCCCCTCCTCGCTCTACTGGCCAAGCAGCACCTGGGTCAAGGTGACATCCTTGCCTGAGTTCCCCCTCCTCGCTCTACTGGCCAAGCAGCACCTGGGTCAAGGTGACATCCTTGCCTGAGTTCCCCCTCCTCGCTCTACTGGCCAAGCAGCACCTGGGTCAAGGTGACATCCTTGAAGAATCCAACAGTCACATCGGCCACAGAAATCGATTTCATCAAAGGAACAAACAACCTGTTTTGAAACGCCACACAAGCGAAGTCAGGTTTCCATTTATTCACTGCTCATTTAGACAACAATGGACGAACACGGAGAATTCAGTAAAACCACAGTCTCACGTTTCTTGATGCATATGATGTAACACAGCTGTATCCGGACTATAACACAGCTGTATCCGGACTATAACACAGCTGTATCCGGACTTTAACACAGCTGTATCCGGACTATAACACAGCTGTATCCGGACTATAACACAGCTGTATCCGGACTATAACACAGCTGTATCCGGACTATGTGGGTATTTAAGACTACGACAAATCAAATGGCCATATGATGCTTGTCTTCCCAATTCCGATGTGGCCTTTTTTGTATGATTTATTATATGTTAAATTGTATGTTTTACTTTATGTTATATTTTCTGTTTTACTGTATGTTTTACACCGTTGATTAGGAGATGTTGCCTCTACAAATCAATATTAGTACGAGACAACACCAGGGAATAACCAGTCTCACGCATGTCTTTTGTAAGAGACGGGGTCAGATGATCAGGACAGCGGCGTGGGACGTTGCTTATAATATTACTTATTCGTTTAGTTTGGAATATTGCTGACTGTGACTTTAAACAGCAAAACCAAAAAACAAATGTATTACCACACGGTTTCAACATCATAACGTCATAATGTCGAAGCATTTGAATATATTATTATATGATTGGTGGTTTGTGTATCAAATATCAAAACCTTTTGTCACAAGTGCCCATGTTACTATTGACGTCCCCTTCCTCACCGCTGATTAAATACTGTGCAACGCTCCCGGATATATAGCACCGTGTTCGTTAATTCCACGAAGAAATACAATAGCATATGTACATCTAGCGGTGAAAAAATTAATGAATGGATCATTGGAAATCAGCGACATCAAGTCAGAATATCACATAATCCCATGTACAGCATATGAATATATACAGTTATTTAATAAATATCAGAAATATACACATCGGGGGAAGAATATACGAGTTCTGTAGGAAATATAAAATTATACTTTCCAGGTATATTTCATCAAAACAATAAAACAAATCTTAAGTATATAAACATGCACAAGGGTAATGAATCCTTGTTCCGAAAATACAATGCTGTTATACGATGTGTAATCTGATCTGAAACCTATTCAGGAGAAGCTGCATTGACTGTTAATGTAGACCGGAAAGACCAAAACGTGAATACAGAAATACGACAGAATGAGAGTAAACAGTAACATATGTTCAGCAACACAGACATTATATAAAATACACATTGTCTATAACAGTCAATCATAACAAGGAAAGAACGGTGAGAACAGATCATACTGACATCTTCGGAAGATTGGCATGAGCCAGAACTTGTATTTCCACAATTCGTTTTGTATAAAATGTGATAGGAAACGACAGGCAGGGAATGACAGTGAAATACGTTGCATGTCCCATGCTTGTAGCTAAACACAGACTGCCATTTGACTTCACCTCATCCATGACTCAGTAACAGGGGTAGCCAAGACACAGGCTTGGTAACAGGGGTAGCCATGACACAGGCTTGGTAACAGGGGTAGCCATGACACAGGCTTGGTAACAGGGGTAGCCATGACACAGGCTTGGTAACAGGGGTAGCCATGACACAGGCTTGGTAACAGTGGTAGCCATGACACAGACTTGGTAACAGTGGTAGCCATGACACAGGCTTGGTAACAGTGGAAGCCATGACACAGGCTTGGTAACAGTGGAAGCCATGGCACAGGCTTGGTAACAGGGGTAGCCATGACACAGGCTTGGTAACAGTGGTAGCCATGACACAGGCTTGGTAACAGGGGTAGCCATGACACAGGCTTGGTAACAGTGGTAGCCATGACACAGGCTTGGTAACAGTGGTAGCCATGACACAGGCTTGGTAACAGGGGTAGCCATGACACAGGCTTGGTAACAGTGGTAACCATGACACAGGCTTGGTAACAGGGGTAGCCATGACATAGGCTTGGTAACAGGGGTAGCCATGACACAGGCTTGGTAACAGGGGTAGCCATGACACAGGCTTGGTAACAGGGGTAGCCATGACACAGGCTTGGTAAGAGGGGTAGCCATGACACAGGCTTGGTAACAGTGGTAGCCATGACACAGGCTTGGTAACAGGGGTAGCCATGACACAGGCTTGGTAACAGTGGTAGCCATGACACAGGCTTGGTAACAGGGGTAGCCATGACACAGGCTTGGTGACAGTGGTAGCCATGACACAGGCTTGGTAACAGGGGTAGCCATGACACAGGCTTGGTAACAGGGGTAGCCATGACACAGGCTTGGTAACAGGGGTAGCCATGACACAGGCTTGGTAACAGGGGTAGCCATGACAAAGGCTTGGTAGCATGGCTGAGATAACATGTGTATATTTATTATCACGGTTGCTATTCTACACGAGGGCATTTTGTGACACGAGGGTGTCCATGACAACGGTTGCCATGCTACATCAGGATATCCATAACAAAGGTTGCTTTGCTACATGAGGGTATCCATGACAACGGTTGCTATGCTACATGAGGGTATCCATGACAGCGGTTGCTATGCTACATGAGGGTATCCATGATGAAGGTTGCTTTGCTACATGAGGGTATCCATGACGAAGGTTGCTATGCTACATGCGTGTATCCATGACAACGGTTGCTATGCTACATCAGGATATCCACAACAAAGGTTGCTATGCTACATGAGGGTATTCATGACAACGGTTGCTATGCTACATGAGGGTATTCATGACAACGGTTGCTATGCTACATGAGGGTATTCATGACGAAGGTTGGCATGTCACAATCTTCCACTTCCTTCATTTCCTCGTTGGAGTTTGTCTCCTCAATGACGTACTGCTTCCCTGGACTGATCGGCTCCTTTCTGGAAGACAAGTATCACGTGGTGTCAAAGGAGTAATTAAAGCCATTCTCACCATATTCAATTAATATATTTTGAAGTAAATCAAACATGTAAAAGTAGCATTCCCCATTACGCGTCTCCCGTCACATGCTGTGGCGAACCAGCAGCCCTGATCCGAGACACATGGAACTGCCTCCTGCAGATGTACAAGATGTATTGTCCCCGAAAGACGCTCACCGGAACACCATGACTGCGACAACGATGATGACTGTGACGACCAGGACTGCACCGATTGCGGCAGAGACTGTGATGACAACAATCGACCTTTGGAAATCTGGTTTTAAAGTTATAGATATTAACATCAAGTAGAAACAAATATATAAGGTTGAATAATCACTTTAATCTGTTTAATATTATATAATATTATAATATAATAGACAGATTCTTTGATATCCTGGGGTCCCACAAACTATAATTATCACAACATCAAGCATGTCCACTGGTCGATTTCATTAAGCACTTTACTGAGCAGATAACGTTTTCCCGAAAATATTCTATCAAATGCTTTGCCATAAGAATATATAAGGTACGTCATACACAATTATAGCAATATCATTTGTAATCCTGTGTTGTTGACAATAACATTGACTGTATACTCGAAGTATGTGATAATAACATTGACTGTACCCTCATAGTATGTGACAGTAACATTGACTGTAACCTTGGTATAGTATGAGACAGTAACATTGACTGTAACCTTGGCATAGTATGTGACAGTAACATTGACTGTAACCTTGGCATAGGATGTGACAGTAACATTGACTGTAACCTTGGCATAGTATGTGACAGTAACATTGACTGTAACCTTGGCATAGTATGTGACAGTAACATTGACTGTAATCTTGGCATAGTATGTGACAGTAACATTGACTGTAATCTTGGCATAGTATGAGACAGTAACATTGACTGTAACCTTGGCATAGGATGTGACAGTAACATTGACTGTAATCTTGGCATAGTATGAGACAGTAACATTGACTGTAACCTTGGCATAGTATGAGACAGTAACATTGACTGTAATCTTGGCATAGTATGAGACAGTAACATTGACTGTAACCTTGGCATAGTATGTGACAGTAACATTGACTGTAACCTTGGCATAGGATGTGACAGTAACATTGACTGTAATCTTGGCATAGTATGAGACAGTAACATTGACTGTAACCTTGGCATAGTATGAGACAGTAACATTGACTGTAATCTTGGCATAGTATGTGACAGTAACATTGACTGTAACCTTGGCATAGTATGAGACAGTAACATTGACTGTAACCTTGGCATAGTATGAGACAGTAACATTGACTGTAACCTTGGCATAGGTTGTGACAATAACATTGACTGTAACCTTGACATAGTATGTGACAGTAACATTGACTGTAACCTTGGCATAGGATGTGACAGTAACATTGACTGTAATCTTGGCATAGTATGTGACAGTAACATTGACTGTAACCTTGGCATAGTATGAGACAGAGTACTGAACGTCATCGTTTTGGATGTCAACTATATTTGGTAGCTAAGAAGGAATCTTACCTTGCCTCAGTTGCGTCTTATCAGGGTCTGTATTGTTATGTGATGGCGTCGTGTTGACAGCTGTTGAAATATGTTGATTGATAGTTATTTATGATGATAGTAAGGCTACAGTTTCAGCAGTGTCCCTGCTGTACTTATCTTACAGTATTTGGAGTCCAAATTGGTGAGTTTGGTGTCACGTCGTTTCGACACTATTCAGTTCTATTATGACGTATCATCAACCACTGCTGCAGGTCGCACACGTTAACCACAGTGGTGATCCCACAAGCATGGATAGTGTGTTGACAAAGCATGGATAGTGTGTTGACAAAGCATGGATAGTGTGCTGACAAAGCATGGATAGTGTGTTGACAAAGCATGGATTGTGTGCTGACAAAGCATGGATAGTGTGCTGACAAAGCATGGATAGTGTGTTGACAAAGCATGGATAGTGTGTTGACAGAGCATGGATAGAGTGTTGACAAAGCATGGATAGTGTGCTGACAAAGCATGGATAGTGTGCTGACAAAGAATGGATAGAGTGTTGACAAAGCATGGATAGAGTGTTGACAAAGCATGGATAGTGTGTTGACAAAGCATGGATAGTGTGCTGACAAAGCATGGATAGTGTGCTGACAAAGAATGGATAGAGTGTTGACAAAGCATGGATAGTGTGTTGACAAAGCATGGATAATGTGCTGACAAAGCATGGATAGTGTGCTGACAAAGAATGGATAGAGTGTTGACAAAGCATGGATAGTGTGCTGACAAAGTATGGATAGTGTGTTGACAAAGCATGGATAGTGTTCTGACAAAGCATGGATAATTTGCTGACAAAGCATGGATAGTGTGCTGACAAAGCATGGATAGTGTGTTGACAAAGCATGGATAGTGTGCTGACAAAGCATGGATAGTGGGCTGACAAAGCATGGATAGTGTTCTGACAAAGCATGGATAGTGTGTTGACAAAGCATGGATAGTGTGCTGACAAAGCATGGATAATGTACTGACAAAGCATGCATAGTGTGCTGACAAAGCATGGATAGAGTGCTGACAAAGCATTGATAGTGTGCGGACAAATCAAGAATTCATAACCAGGGTGAATATTGAATCCCCCCCCCAAAAAAAACCCAATATATATATACAAATAAAAATAAAAATAAAAATAAAAATAAAAATAAAAATAAAAATAAAATGATAAAATAATAAAATAAAATAAATACACAAATAAAAAAAAAGAAAAGTAAGTCGTTATCTCTGATGTAAGACAATGTGTCGACACATATTATTCGGTAATCAGTTGTATTTCTCTCGTGTACAGTTGTACAATTTCTGTATACAGTGGTACAGTTTCTGTATACAGTTGTACATTTTATGTATACAGTTATAGTTATGTATACAGTTTGTGTGTACAGTTGTACAATTTCTGTACACAGTTATACAGTTCATGTATACAGTTGTACAGTAACTGTACAGTTATACAGTTATGTATACAGTTGTACAGTAACTGTACAATTGTGCAGTTTCTGTGTAGATTGTTGTACAGTTTCTGTGTACAGTTGTACAGTTTCTGTGTACAGTTGTACAGTTTCTGTGTACAGTTATACAGTTGTACAGTAACTGTACACTTGTGCAGTTTCTGTATACAGTTGTTCAGTTTCTGTGTACAGTTATACAGTTGTACAGTTTCTGTATACAGTTGTACAGTAACTGTACAATTGTGCAGTTTCTGTGTACAGTTGTACAGTTTCTGTGTACAGTTGTACAGTTGTACAGTTTCTGTATACAGTTGTACAGTTTCTGTGTAGATTGTTGTACAGTTTCTGTACACAGTTGTACAGTTTCTGTACACAGTTATACAGTTTATGTATACAACTGTTCAGTTTCTGTGTACAGTTTTACATTTTCCTCGTACAATTGTTCAGTTTCTGAGTACAGTTGTACAGTTTCTGTATAAAGTTGTACAGTTTCTGTATACAGTTGTACAGTTTCTATGTACAGTTGTACAGTTTCTGTGTACAGCTGTACACTTTAGGTATACAGTTATGCAGTTTAACACCAAAGAGACATTAACACACCTGTCGTGTACTGACCGGTCGGGGCAGGGGATGATGGCGCGGTGAAGGTCGGCACCGTTATGTTGTCATCTCCATGGTAACAGATTGCTGTCATATTTGAAGATCCTAAACGGAATACAGAAATACGCAATATATTTGCAAAATTTCAAACTGTTTGTATTCAAAATAATGTTCCAGATTAGGTCGAGGGCGAGCACTCTCCAGTTGTTTACCATGATACTAATAATGTGAATGTATGAACAAAACATATAACTGAACCATGCGATGAAACAAAAACAACAATGAATGTATGCCTTACACAAGTAACTGCTTTCCTGAATGAACTATTTGCATTCATACAGCATTTTTAAAATTTTAAGTACACCGTCCCTTTCCCAGCTGTATTTTCACTTGTGTTTCTTGCGTACACTCTGGACCACGGAGGAGGTCAGTGATGAAGATGAGGATGAAGGGGATGTTGGTGGGGAAGATGACAGTCACCTGAAACCTTAATCCACATGTCCTGGCTTAGCTGTTCAAAGTCGTTAAAGGCAACCTTGAGGTTGTCGGTGTCGTTGATGACCAAGGTGTTGTACACGACAGGGACGCGGTCGTCTGACGTCCATGCCGCCGTGTCTCCGATCACAACCAGCCTGCCTGTTATTTTGCTGCCGGTGCCTCGGAAGTAAACCTCCAGGATGGAGACCTTCATCATCGTGCCTGTGACGTCACACACGCATGTTCCGTTGGTTTTCATATTCCCAGAACCACGTGGGTACGTTGGGGAGGCAAGATATAGCGTGTTGTCACGTGACAGGGTTGTGACGTCACAGATGTTGACGGGGTTACCTAAAATACCAGAATCCGGGGACTGAGGAAAATGTTACTTTTCAAGGATTACAGAGAGTGTGCGATAAACGTACAGCATCCATGTTATTTAACTATTAAGGTTAGCCAAGGGTCGAGTTTGAACACACAAACGGGAGGAGTTTTATGCGGTTCTGGATAGCAGTACCAATATATCAGATGTTCAGAGAACAGCCAACTAGTGGTTCATAGCAAACGGTCAGAGACATTGTAGCCAGAAGACACAGTGCAGACAACGGACTCCTATGTTGAGACAGGGGGGATATACAAGTATGTGACCAGCCATGAGATGAGGGACCTCATGGGTGAAAAAACATCACATTTTGACTCCTTTATATATTTTAATACCACAGTATCGTAGGACCACAAAAATACATGTGATTAGCTTCAATTCATTTTTATTACAGAGTAACAAGGCATCAAACATTTGGGCTCATTGTCTGCGAATTTCAGACTTATTACTCTTTATGTAATAATTCGGATATGTTACATTAATTGAAAGTAGACATGTTTGCTTAAATGCTTTGAAATAATGTTTTTATTATATTACGAACAAGCAAGAGAAAAGAACGATATTTTTTTACAGTCCCCATACATGGCGATTTTTACGGAAGTACGTTGACGTCAAACGTCTTTCTGTATGACGTCACAGTACACTTGTATCCAAGCAACCACAAGGTCACATATGTCTTTATCAACGGGTATCGATATTACGCTGATGTACATGCAAATATAGAATACTAAACGAGCTCCCGTGTACTACCAATTTTATGAAACGAGTGAATAGTTCTGGTATCTGACGAGCGAAAGCGAGTCAGATACCACAACTATTCACGAGTTTCATAAAATTGGTTTTACACGAGAGCGAGTTTAGTATTTTATTTATTACTTGTCATTTATAATGTTTTTAGAATTATACTGTTGAGTGTAAATAGGCTGACACCTACACGATCCATGGCATAATCCATTGAGTGTAACAGAATAATACTTCAAACACGTCAAAGGTTGAAACGTATGAATTTAATATCATACAATGGTCGACCTTTAGAATTCAGGCGTTCGTCCCACAAAATTATCGTAGTGCTAAGGCTATCACAACTCACATAATTTAACTTAGACTAAAGACTCTCGTTGCGCTAGAGTACGATCGCCTTGTGGAACGGGGCCTTGCAGCTCAAAGTTTACAATGACGTCACAATACCCGATGACGTAATTTGTTGAATTTTGTTGCAAGATCCATCGGCGAAACAATGCCATGTGACGTCAGCCTAGCAACAAGGTTGCTGGGGTCATCGAGTGTGCATAAGCTCCTCCCAGTGATCTATCATCTCCACACACAATGTCGTTGAATACGCCAAGGGATGTTGAGAGCTTTCAATATTTGTTCGTGAAACGTGTTCCGAGAGTACATAAGCACGCGTTTTGGTATTACACAATGTGTAATAAAGCTGTATGTTTATTAAACGGGTGATCTCTTCACGGGCAAGTAATAATGCTAGATATTCACGTGAGACGCACTGGTTTGACATTTCTACCTGTAATGCATTCGTACTGAACAGTGGCCTGGGCAGACCTGGTTCCACATGTTTGGTTTATCCCGAAAATGGTCACCTCCTCCTGGCATTGACTGACCCCATTACAAGTGATGGTTGGGAAATCTTCCGTATATTCACAAGGGGTTGGATCTCCTGGGCAGGTGCTTGGGTTCTTGTAGAACTTTCTGATGACGTGGATCTTCTCTGACGCCTCACACTGTAGGTTAACTTTCGTCTCGGAGGTAGTCAGGCAGGATGTCGCCTCACGACCTTGACCTTGGATAGAAGAGTCCTGGTTACAGGGATGTGAGTGAGTAAGTGAGTGAGTGAGTATGGTTTTGCAGCGCTTTTAGCAATATTCCAGTAAAGCGAACGCTTTAACAACTAGGCTACCCCCCCCCCCCCCCCCCCCCCCCCCCCCCCCGGTTTCAGGGATGTCCTGACGTCTAACCATGGTTCATCAACCCTAATGACTCCATCTTCAATGAGCTGCATCCACTTGAGATTATGCGCATATTATCGAATATTCCATCACACAAATTTAAAAACACAAATGTGTTAACCATTCTCAAGATATGTGACATATATGGAAACACGTATAATGTATTGTAGTGAATTAGAGACAGCGATACAATACACGATATGCAATTAGAATATTCAGGTCGAAGAAAATTATATTGCAAGAAATTACGCGATCATATAGAACTAGAAAAAGACTTGGTAATTTAGAAATATACAAAATAACAGCAAACATTCAACAGCGACGCTGTAGGGAGACACAGCGATATAACACAAAGCAGAGAGGATGTGCGATGACCAGGCTTTAACCATGTTCACCCACACAGAGAAAGACAACTGTACTTACCCATAGGCAGCGCCATCATGACCACGACCATCACATGTACCAGTGTGGCCATCATCCTAACACAAGGGCAGGGAAGTGCGCTGCACATATCTGACACGCCTGTCATCTGTATGCACCGACACTCACAGTGTTGTCAATGATGGTGAGGAGACGTCTGAATCTGTACATAAATCCACGTTGTCATGGGTTACCAGTCAGAAAACAACTCAATTACAGAGATGTTTGAAGTCAGTCTTGCTCGACCAATACACATGTTCAA